TAGAAAGTATACGACTGGAGGTGCAGTATGGGTTCGATTCCCGATTGATACAAATTATACCCGTCTGATGTCCACGTCATCGTTGCTATTCTATATTAAGTTCCAGCTAAACCTTTTACAAAAAGTAATTTGTGTGAACTACATTTACTTAAACGTGCAGTCAGTATTCAATTTAATATGTTCGTTCATGAATATTTATAACGGTCTGTTTCCGCTTATTTCTCCGAGATTGATGAGGGTGTTATTGCACAGAAGTAACGAATGGAAATCTAATGCTAATTATATCAAAATAAATGATCCAATTCCTGCAAAAATGTGTTGCATCACGATGAGTATCCATTAGCTGTATTAAATGAAGGTTAATAATTTATAAGAAACATTTTAGTGGATTCAACGTGAAATCAATTGTTGTGCTACAAACCACGAATTAAAATATAAGTGGTCCTACCATATAAATTATAGGACCACTTTCCCAATACAATAAAATTAAATTGTTCTCAAAACCATGAAAAATGATTATCCTCGAACAAAGGTTTGAAAGGCATCTATGACGATAATTCTAAAACCAGAGTTATACATAAAGGTCTTATAATGATAATCCTAGAACTAGAGTTATACAAAAAAGTATCTTTTTAACGTGTTACCACAATTTGAGTTACAAAAAAGCTCTTTTAATGTGTTACTTATTGGCTCATTCAAAGCAACACAGAGTGAAGACAACAAGCTTTGTAAATTTTAAAATAATTTATTTTCCTAGAAAACATGGAAAAATTTAAATATGTAAAACAAGACTTACGACTTACGAAAAAGATATAAACTGTTCTAAAGACATAACACATAAGTCATGTGAACAGTTCTAAATTAACACAGGCTGAATTTCAGTTCCAGTCCAAGATGGCGGATGATAACGTCAGACAAAGGCTAGCACAAAAAATCCAGAATCTACACAGTGAAGCAAAGTTTGTATTGTTCCGTTCCAATTTTGTCCAAACCAGTAGTGTTGTTCTCCAGGAAAAAAATTATTCAGAAGGACATAGTACAAATAGCTCCACTAACAAAAGACATGTTGTTCTACGTAGACACACGAGCAGACAACTTCTAGCACAAAATACCCTTTATAAGGTAATAGAATCTATGTAATTCTATAATGTTAAAATTTTTTGTAAGATGTTACAATAGGCTACAACTCTGTTCTTTATTATGTCTGTGACTCTGACTCTGACTTTCATACAAATACCTAAGCATATAAACAAAGCTAATACGTCGTGTCAATGACACGCGCACGGAGGACACGTGTAATTTCGCTATACATCTGGACATTAGGAAAGCCTGACCAAGCATCAGCCAATCATTTTCGTAGCTATTCCTAAATGTTTACTTGTAACGAATTTGCCATCATACACAGCACGGGATCACATGAGTCACATTTACGACTTAAGTAAATATGCCGTTTCTAACAACACATTAGACTCGTGCTAACATAATGATAATAATAATTACATTTAATGAAATAAAATATTTATACAGAATTCATTCCTTAACATACACAAACACACACACACACACACTTCAACTACAGGGTCGTAACAAATGACACTATTAAAATATGACTTTCTACACAAAGATCATATAATGATACTACAGGAACGTGAATTACAAGAAAGATCTTACAATGATATTAGTAGAATGCGAGTTACACAAAACAATCAATGATACTACTTGAATGTGTCTTGTACAAAAGGCTTTATACTGATATTACAAGAATGTGACGATGCAAAAGGGTCTTATAAGAATATGACCACAATGACCACAGTAAGACTCGGTATAAATCGCTGACTCTTCCCAATCTTATTGTTTCCAGCAACGCTTAAAACCTAGATATTTATGTTTGACATATATAAAAAATAACAAACAATATGCACATGAAATTACACTTACACCTTATCATATGAAATAAAAACGGATATTCTTTCTTTGCTATATTTTTTTTTTGTACCTGGGTATCCCTAATCATGTATGTATTGGAAATACGTAGTAATAGTCGATACACTTGACGATCCAAAAATAGTCGGTACACTTGACGACCCAGCAAAGTGATCAAATTAGTAGCTGAAGGAATACACACTGCAATGAAAACTGAGTGCTCTAGATCTCAACATTATGACATTTATATTAAACATTTTGACGTTAATATAAAGCATTTTGACGTTAATATAAACATTTTATGTTAATATTAAGCATTTATTACTTGATTTCTTATGAAATAAAATGTTTAAATTTTCATTACACTCCTTTTTTATACGGTAGAGTTATGTGAAAGTTTAATTATCGTTTCTTTCCTTATATCTTGAAATACATTTCAGTGGTGTCAATCAAACCCAGCTGTGCTCGAGATAAGCCAGCACGTGTGAGAGTTTTGCATTTATTGAATGATGACGTGCATGTTAGGGCCCATATCATACATTTTATAAGATTATAAAAGTTTAATCATTTGAGTATATCCGTATCACGATAGAAGTAAATAAATTCATTTGGATTGCTTTGATTTTTCTCCGTAAACACCTCACTCCATCAATCTCTAAAATGGATAATGACCAAGAGATACGAGTGGCAGGCGTTTAGTACTCTCTTTGTATTAGATAATTCCATTAATAATATAAAATATCACGTACTTAATGCAACTCAAAATAACGCCAGCCCCGATATATACCTCCCTAAAAATGAATGCAAAATCGGTTAAATATTTGATTGCGACAAAAAAATTAAATGATTTAAATGACATTCTTTCAGCATTTGTTCTCTTTTCAACAAAATTAATTTCTATCTAATGAATATTGTATTACGTGTTAAGAATTATGTCTTTTGTTAAATAGAAATAAATATTTTGCTTTTTTATCAACTAATTAATCTTAACAATAAAACTGTATTCTTAGTGAACACCAATTTGATGTAACGAAATCATATTTAGATTTCACAAAATAATCATTGAACATTGTTAAATAAAATACCGTGTAGTGCCTTGTGTTGTTGTGGTTTACAGCTCTCATCAATTTCATGATGGTTTCAGTCAGTGAATCTTAAGACTTTACTAAAATGATCCGCCATCTAAGGAAACAGCGAATCATAAGATCAGACAAAAATGATCTGCCATCAAAGAAAACAGCGATTCTAAAGACCAGACGTAAATCATCTCTTATCCAAGAAAACTGAGAATCTTAAGAACCGAAGTAAATCATCTCCCATTCAAGAAAATAGCAGCACAACACTGGTCCAGAATTATTATAGTACTTATAAAATTGCTACTTTTTGCACAGCAACAAACATTGATGCCCATACGACAACAAAACAGTGATGTCCGAACAAGAACAAACATTGATACCTAAACAAAAAGAAAACAGTGATGGTGATGCCCATGCAACATCAGTGATGCCCATAATCGGAACCATTATAAACACTCTCAAAAAAGATAATAAAAACTAGAGCTACTTACACGGCTCACTGTGGCAAATATACGCACGTTTTGTTACACTCTCACCCCAACCCTCAGGACCAATTTCATCCGTCCTTTTCAGACATTGAACCCAAATCTGTTAGATATTGTATGTATCCTGCCGCTACGAATCCTGTATACAATTAAAACGTTTGGTCAGAAAATATTGAAAAATGTAACTACCCTCAATTATTTAAAAATATATTGACGCCTAACTCCAAACCAAGGTCTGTATAAGATGAACACTGAGTCCATAACATCTTCACAGTTGATTAACACATGAATAACACATGTAACAAGTATAGCGAACTTCCAAACCGTAGTTTGAAAGAAGATTGTGTCGCGATCAGACTGATGAACGGATAGATAGAGGGTATTACAAGAGGAAATCATAAATGTGAAAATAAGTATTTGTTAATTATAAATAGAGTTCCTTAAAACGAAAAATCCTTACTGAGGAAACACGTGCAAGACTATTCACTTGACCTTTTCCAAAATCACGTGACGGTGCACCTGAATAGGGACATACATATTTTTATTTTGCAAACAAATAATACATTATGTATTAATTAACTATTAATATTTCTCTAGAAGTGTGGGTTAAATATTAGAGTCAGTTTCAATAAAGGTAAACATGTTTATTTGGATCTGGGTCTAGGACATTGGAATTGTCCTATGAAGAGCCCTTTTTACCTGATGTTTCCCATGTTCTTTATCATAATTTAGCTGCATGATTTTATATGTTAACAACTTAGAATTTTCTAGGAATGTATTTCGGACATACATCTTGGCTCTGCTTTTATGTCCTAGTTTGTTTTATATAATCTTGTTTACTTGAAAACAGTACTCGGTCTTGTATTTAACATCTGAGGCCAAATCAGTCTTAATGTTGTGTTCAGTATTTCATCTGGGGTAATTATTTTTTCAAATTATTATTCATTGGAAATATAAAATTCTCATCTATAATAGTCTTGGACTGTAACATTAATGTGGAATTATAGTGAATTTAGAGAAGAAAACGTTTGGATTATATTATTGTGAATTATATTATTGTGATACATTAAAAATAATATTAATTCATCTACACTCTATAGGCACGTCAACACAGTCAATATTGAAATTTATTTGGAATACCAATAGAATTCAGTTGAAACTTTAAATATTTCGACTTGTGATAAATCTCTTAGGACTATTTTGGGTTCAATTCGCATTACTGTAAGTTTTTTTATATATAAAAAACAAACTTTTTTCACTTATTAATATAGGGAAATAATTTTCTTTTAATTGTAAAAAAATGTTGGTTACCACTAATTTCTGTTAGTTTATGACCATAGAGTCGTAATAGAAAATCGGTGTCTCGTGTACGGGATACGAATTTCTCCAACATATTTTTAAAAAAAAACTTTTTTTCATTAAAATTTAAATACACTTTGTTTCGAATTTTTATAAGTCCCAAGTTTAATTTTGCATATTTGAGAAATCAAAATTGAAACTAACAAGCGACCTCTCCGATGGCTTAGTGGTTAGAGCGTCCACCTCTTTTGCGGGAGGTCGCGGGTTCGTACCCCGGCCTGTTCGTATCAAAGATATTAAAAATAGTACTATCAGCTGCCTCGCTTGTCGCTAAGAATTAAGAAGTTAGTGTTATCACTGGTCTGCATCGTGTCAGGATAATGTAACTGGGTGTGACATCATGCCACATGTCTGCGGTATGATGTCCCAGTGTTAGACATCACTATAACCTGCTACATTGCAGACATCGTTGCAATATGACTGAGAAATTGTAAAAACTACGTTAAAAATCTAAATCAATCACACACACATACACGCACACACACAAACACACTGTTCTTTAAAAAGGATAAATTACTCCAATTTGCCAGACAATATGTGTCTAAGGGTTCTTTTACAAAGAAACAAATAAGAATATTGAGTCCAATTTTAAGTGGTAATTTTTTATGATACAATCGCGTTGGGTTTGATTAGTAAATATCTGTTTGGTTCTAATACAAGATGAAGACATATTTATGAGATCTTCGGCTTCAGAAAGTGAAAGTTGAGAAACAAATTCAAGTGAAGAAGAGGAGAGAGACAAATGCAGTTGAAGAAAGAGAAAGATTGGAGACAAATGCAATGAGAGAGAGAGAGAGAGAGAGAGAGAGAGAGAGAGAGAGAGAGAGAGAGAGAGAGAGAGAGAGAGAGAGAGATGTTAAGTTAAATGCAAAGGGGAAAATAAGAGACGGAATTATAGACGCAGAGAGAAGTAGAAAAGGAAGAAAGGGAATATCAATTTAGATTAACAGAATTAGGGATGGCGAGTGAAAAGCACTCCTCCACTTTGCGCACAAATTCAGATGTTGATATTACCAGAACTATTATGTTAGTTCCCACTTGCACTGAAACAGAAGTAGATAAATAATTTCCTCGTTTTGGAAAAAAGTTGAAGTTTGAAATGGACAAGAGAGCATTAGATTCTATTATTACAAAGTATACTTATTGGCTAAGCTCTTGAAGTCTTTAGTTCACTATCAGTACAACTGAAATGCTAATTATATGCTTAGAAAATATGTCTTTAAGGGTTATGAGTTGAATCGTATCAAGAGAAGTTTAGGAACTGTATTAAAGAAACTGGACATACTTTTGCAAGAGAAAGCGAACAAGTATTTGATAGGTGGTGCTCAGCCAAGATAGCCTCAGAGAACTCGTAGTTATTGAAGAGTTCAAGAATTGTGTCTACGGTGACCTTTAGACATATCTTTATGAAGAAATGTTCAATACTTTAGAAAATTCTGCTCGTACAGCTGACGATTATCTTTGACTCACACAAACTTTCTCTTGAGAGTAAGACTTGCACTCAACAGTTTATTTGTAAAAAGTCATTTCAGTCTCAGCCGAGCACATTCAAATCTCAAACTAGAACAAATTTTGTGATACGAATTTTCCGGTAAGAGTGATCAGAAATCCTTATCTCTTTCTACGAGCACCTATTGCAAGAAGAAGGAACGTGTTATTTCTGATTACTGCAGATTGCTGTTGTTGTTTTTGGGCTTAAAGCGATTTTTCAGCACACGATAGCCTATTTATGGCGGCCAGTATTAAAGGTGGAGGAAGAAACCGGGAAATCACCGGAAAGAACTACCGACCCACGAGAAGCTACTGGCAAGCTTTCTCACATATCCACATTCGCTGAATCCTAGACTCGAACCCACGAAGACAGAGGTGAGATGGCAGTGACTGCAGATTGCAAAATAAGCAACATACCTATTCCAAATGTTCTTATTTATAAGAGGTCACGGTCACGGTCATGAATTGAAGGCTATACTTTTATTGGGTCAAACAAACTCTAGTCTGATTTTATTATGGAAAATTATGTACCATTCATGTCGATAGGTTCTATATCACCTATTAGTGATTTTGACAATCCTACATCCAGCCACCCCACCCCCCCAAAATGTAAAAGAGTCACTTACTATCAGATAACTTACATTTTTCGGAGACGTCTTCTTAATTAAAGTGTTCTCATTTTTAATGTTTAGAGCGACTTTGTTATCGATAAGCTCCATTATGTAAATTTGTTATCAAACTTAGTCTCAAGACGGATGACAATCAGAACTGTGATTCTTTTTATTTATGACTAGCTGGATATAAGCTTGTGGTTAATTCGCCTGTAACTGACAAGCCTTGTTTGAATCAGAATGTGGCATCTATTAAAAATGAAATCCCCGATTTAAACCCATATTGTGCAGTTACTAAAGATATGTCAAATAAAGCACATGAAAATGGTTTTGATATGGAAATTATTACTTTAGCTGACACATTTATTGGTCAGGCTTTTAATGAGGTCACTTTTGCATCTTGTGTTTATTAATCAAAAGGTATTGATCACTGTAATCATCCTTTTTATTCTATTCACTTGTAAAACAGAAACATTATCCTGATAACTATTTGTTTCAGATGACTATTAGCGAAGCCGAAGCCACAGAAGTACCTGTTTGTTTTTTTTTAAACATGGGATCATTATGAGGACATGGATATAACCTGAGGTACATAGACACACACATACACACACATAGTTTGTGAAATTAATCTAGGCTAAATTTATGCTATGTTTTATCATTCAAGATCATGCACATTAGCACTTGATGGACCTGTAAATTTGTCTTGAGTTTGCCCAAAATATGTCAGTTTACAATGCCACGGAAAAATAATAATCCAGATCTTTGTTCAGAGGACGATAGTCGAGCATAAAAAGTAGTTCCAATCCAAAAATCAAGCCATTAATCACACGAATGGCTTTCTTATTTATACTAATTTCTCATTTCATACCTTTCCATATATATCATGATCATAACCATCATCATGATAGCGATCACGATCATCATCATCATCGTTGTCGTCGTCGTCATCTCATAATTATCAGTACATAGTTTGGTAGACCTTTGATGCATCACACAAGACTGAACGACCAGTTTTCTCTATTCCTCTTGATTTTCCGTCTTTCTCAGTGATTCGCTCAATGTCATGCCTGTCTGCTCTCGAATGTTGTATTCCCACCTTTTTCTCTGCCTGCCTTTCTTTCTTCTTTATTGTACAGTGCCTTGTAGGATTGTCTTTGCAAGTCCTAATGATCGTGAGACATGTCCATATCACTGCAGTTTACATGTTTCTTTCACTGTGCTCAGGATGTCTTCATGAGGTCCAATGGTTTGTGTTATCCTTTGCTGTATTTCTTCATTGGTGACACGGTGAACTTGTCATACAGATGCTCTATTACTCTGATGAGGTTGACATTGATATTGTACAATCTCATGGTCGTCCACAGGCTCAATGTCAAGCCAGTCCACTCTCGAATGTTGTCTTCCCACCTTTTTCTCTGCCTGCCTCTCTTTTTTCTTCCTTGTACAGTACCTTGCAGGATTTTCTTTGCAAATCCTGATGATCCTGAGACATGCCCATACCACTGCAGTTTACATTTTTTGCACTGTGCTCAGAGGTCTTAGTGAGGTTCAATGGCTTGTCTTATCCTTTGCTGTATTTCTCCATTGGTGACACGGTGACCTTGTCATACAGATGCTCTATAACTTTGATAAGGTTGGCATTGAAGTTGTAGTTTCACGGTCGCCCACTGGCTGAATGCCTGGCCCTGTCAAATGCCTTCTTGAAATCAACGAAGACGTGGTACAGATCTTGCTGGTGTTGGAGGTACTTCTAAAACAATATCCTGAGGCTGAATATATGCTCTTTGGTGCTGCGCCCAGCTCTGACACCTGTCTGCTACTCGGCAATGATCTATTCAGCTTGTGGCTGTAGTCTGTTTAGCAGTATCCGCAACGTGACTTTGCTTGGATTACTTATAAGACCAATTGTACGGTGTTTTTATTATAAGTTGCCTTTTTCACTTAAGCATATCAGACAAATCAACAACGCAAAATATTGATTAATCTATCTTAATGTATTTTCCATTTGTGCATCTGGTCATAGATCAAATGGTGTTAGGGCTATTTTAGTCTTTAACTTGATAAGAAGGTACATTAATACATTAAAAATAATTCTACGACTTAATGTGAATCTGCTTCATTATGTTTAGCTAGGACTAAAATGCAAAAGATATAATGATGCTTACAATTTTTTTAAAACAAGATTTACTCCATCTTTTTATAAAATCAACAAGGTAGTTATTTCTTTTAATTGTATGTTTAAACTATAATTTCTAATTAACTCCTTTTCAACAAAATTTTGTCGTTGACCTTCATATATTCGTATTGTTATTATAAAGGTCATTTTAGTGCTAAATTTAAATTAAGTCTTTCGATACACTAGAAGTCACCTTAGTAGTTACAACTTGAGAGAACTATGATACCATGTGCGATTCATTTTGAATTTAGAAAACATTGTGCCACTAACTCGCATTTTTATAACTTTGGACTAGGAGCTGTAACGTTTTTGGTTTTGTAATATTATGCGTCGATAGCGGTTTGCAATCCTGCATCATTTGCATGTCTTTCATGCATACATTTTACTAGATAACACGTTGTTCTGAAAAGAAAGACATGTACATTGGCTTAAGTGTTAGATCAATCAACAATACATTTTGTCAACATAATTCAGGTAAGGGTAAATCATGATAAACACAAAGTTTGACCAGTGCAATGATTTTAGTTTTTACCTGAGGGATAGTTTTGTTTGTTTAATTTTAGTATATCATATTTTTAAGGAAAAATAATTCATCTTATGATTCTGCTTAAACATTGCTTACCATTTGTTTAAAAAAACTTTGCATTTATTACTAGGTTAAATTTTTCTGGCTCGTTTCTTTAGGTCGCCATTCCTAAAGTTCCTCATCTTTTCATTAAACAGTATGTTCCTCTGTGTCACTTCATTATGCACGAAAGGCCGGTAAAATATCAGGATTTACATTAATGGTGGTAAAAAAAGAGTAGATCAGGTATATGTAAAAGCACTATGATGCTTTTATGAAAGGCTTGCATGTAAGTAAACAAATTGTATTTTAAATGTTTTTCTGGGAATTATATGTAAACAAAGCTGTACAACAGAGACAGACAAACAGATAAATGTTG